TATTGACATGGTGGAATCGTCATAAACACTGCACGTACTACACAAGGGATTGAGCAGCAGATCACACGTCACTATTTCTGACATTTATTGTTATTCACTACCTACTTGTGCAGATAGTAGCAACGTTGTCTAACAGTAGTCAGTGATCGGTCACTCAGCTGATTCGTCTGTTATCTCCAAATTTGTGCACTTGTTTTAAGTGAGAATTTTCCTCAGCTTTTTCAGTTTTTAATTTTAATTTCTAGAATTCTAAAATATGGATTTTAAACAATAATTTTATTGATTTCATGCACTACTGGACTGTCGTTATATCTATATATGCTTTTTAGATTTTGGAAGAAGTGGTGTTGTTGCAGGCTTCGCCGCGCACTGAAAACTTATTAATCGTGGTGCGGTCATGACCAAGGCTTTGTTGTTTGCCGCTACCGCGTTCGTTATGCATATCGTTTTCTTGCTGTTCTTTCAGGGATTTGTACACACGTGTAAAATATGATTTAACCATGTGACAAGCATAGAATTGTTTATTTTTACATAACAGGGATCATGGTCAGCAGTATTGCGGTAATCATCAAATGAATAAGGGGTAATCATCACATGCGTAGATAATTATAACTCTTATATTACAAACAACAGTAGCGTGAATAGTTTTTGCTCACCTGGAAACGGATTGATAATGTGCATGGAACAGTTTATCGCGGAGGTTGCATTTCCATGCCAGTCCTCCAACCGCAATAATGATCATGATGACCACAAATGCCACTACCAACGCTGTGTTATCGTTCACGCTCACTTCCGGCTCCTCTGTAACTGCCGTTTCATCATACAGTTCTTCCTTTTCTTCTGCCGTATGTGTTGGAAATTCGTCACCTGAGGCGGGAGTACCGTATGGCTCATTTCCTTGGGTCACTGTCTCGTTCTGATTTTCTTCCTCTGTCGAAATAATCATCACATCTGTGGTATCCTCGTTTTCCTCATCGTCTTTCTCTGGCTCGTTTTCTTCTGCCGTTTCTTCTTTGGCTTCTTGTTCAAACGGGGTTGCCGTAGTGGTTTGCTTGGTTGCAGCTTTTGCAGCAATAATGGGCGATAATGCGATGACCTGTTCTGCGGGTTCGTCCGGGTCGCGCCCCTTGCCCGCCCTGTTGAAGCATGTGTCGATGGTTACCGACGAAGTCTCATAACGCAGGCAGCCATATTCGTTCAGTTCCTGAAGGACCTTTGCATCTTGTGTGAAAGACACACATCCTTCAGCGTAGTAGAACGTCTGACTGTCGGTGGCGTTTACCGCCACGTGAAAGCAGTTGTCTCCGGTACATGTGCCATCCTTTTGTTGCGTCTGCAGGCCATTCCATGACAGCTGCATACGTGTTCTGCATGTCCTGCGCTTTGAATCCAACATGCTTGGTTTATGGCGGTTGCAGTTGTCCCTCGAGCACAAGCAGCTCTCGATGTTCACTGCATTGCCGATATCTTTTCCATGTACGGTGGCACCGGTAAGCGGCGGCTGGATACAACTGCCGTCCCCCTTCCGCTCTACTAGAGGGGTCGAGTAGTTAGCGCACCCTCTGGTCACGGTATTGCTTTGTTTGTCAGTGACGTAAGTACAGTAATGGCCGATGCACTCATCGCTGTCTTTGCAGTGTGGCCCACGACACACACAGCTTACAAGCGTGGCCATTTTTCTCTTCTGGCTAACCATGTTCGCGTTGCAAAAGTCTGATGAACAGATGCACATATAGATATCATCCGAGTTTTCGGACGACGTGTCGCAGTGGTCCTGGATGTTATCTTTCATCAGGGTACCTGAAACGCAGCCCTTCGTGTAAACAGCATTTCCAAGGCTTGCCGTCCCCCAGATGGGCACGTATTTCGCTATGACACAAGCTGTTCCCTCGCATAGCGCTCCGACACAGTGCAGGCCATCGCATGAGAAACACTTCACCGGATCTGCGAAGGGCACATGCACGAGCAACATTGAAATTAGAAGCAGCATTTCTGCCATTCTTCTCGTACTCACTCAGACCGCCGGTTGTTTCGTACCGTCTCTTCTGGAAAGCTTCGTTAATCACGACAAATCAATCACTCTTGGCTACGCTCGTCCACGGTCTCGACGGTATTAACCAGCGTCTATAAGCAATGCTGCATGAAATCAGCTTTCTTCCCTGCTTTGGTCACTACCACTGCTGTCCCAAAACGCTAAACCGCATGACATTAAAAGCCATAGCTGGGAGATAGGAGCAGCAACTAAACACAACGGCTAAATCGCTGGCGTCATACTCGCCAGCAAAATCAGATACTGCACTCTTGTTCATCACCGCCCTCCGTTGTCATAGCACTTATTGATCGCCATAGTATTGCTATCGGAAGCTGGACATATCGATCAACTCTGCTGTCTCCATTATTAACCATCCGTACCTACGGTCGACATGGGCCATGTTCAGTGGTCATGCTTGTCCTCGGTTTCGTTCACAAACATTAACCAAAGAGAAACCAGTCAAAATCGATAGCAACAGAAATTGATCAAAATCATCGGAAGCAAACCAGTGGACTTTTCTAACATTGGTCTAAACGATCGGATTCATTATCCCTTCCCAAGACTAAGTTA